TAAGGGGAGTGTCGTGTGCGGCGTATATAACGTCTACTTAGCATACACACTTGACGGTGACTGACGTATAACATGTGTCTGTCTCACCTTCGGGCCAAGCACGGAACGAGCAAGTGGTGCCTTCTGCACCATCCCCAGGACGGCTGACGTCGGGCCGGCCACCCCCGGCAGCGGCGTCCGGATAGATGCCGGGCGCGTCCCTAATGTCCTGGGCCCAGCAACTGTACACTGATTGGTGGTGTATGAAATTGCATGTCTATGATTGGTAGTTAGAATCCGACAGTTGATGGGTTTTTAGCCCCGCGCCTGAAAAGGAACGGGTCGCTAACAAAGCTTGCGCCGACTTCCGGGAGCTTGCGCCTCCCCTCGTTGGTGTTATTTGTGAGTCGTCTCCACGAGACACGACATACATCACGGACTCGCGGCGGTCTCCCGATCGTTTACATTTGGCGAAGCCTTGGTGATCTCTCAAGGGGTGTCGTTTCTTGCGTTGGATGCACGTTGCAGCTGGTCATTCCAGCCATTTCGAACGATTCCCTTCACTCATCGGATACTTGTCGTAGGCAAGGGTATTTCCCGCGACGTGACCTCGCCAAGGTCGTCGTAAACTGATGGAGGTGGCATTCAACAGGAAATTGTTTAAAACATATCATTGAGCGATGAATTTGGACTCGATATGACATCGAGTGTGGAGCGGGATGCCCTTCGACTTGGGTTAGCACGTGTGGTGGGGCTTGGTCAGGGCCCTCTTTTCCGTCGTGTATCCCCGTCAAGAGCCCCTCGACACGTACCTTCTTCTACCTGTTGTGGCATGTTGAACGCATTGCATGCGCCGCGAGAATCGAAAGCCTTGATCGACGGCGGCAGAGGCAGCTCCATGGCGAATTCTACGTTTGCCATGGAACGCCGTCACGATGACGTTTTGATACACTGCTGCATATTGGAAAGCAGCATAGGGCAAATCACTGGAACAAGTTGTTCCGATTACTTAGTCGAGTCCCCGTCGATCGGCCGTACGCTAGGTCGTGCACATGGCCGGGCCGAGGTTAGCACAACGGGATCAACGTCGTCGGTGCCGTCGTCCGGCAGGCGCGCGTACATATCGTGGAACGTTTGCTTGCACAGCTGAGGTCGAAACGTACAAGTCTCTGCGTGTTCCTTGTCTAGTTTCACCTGGCGCTCCTTACGCTTTGCGGCGTACGTTGCGTGGACGCTGTAGAGATGTTCAAAAATGTGCTTTCGGTCGCTGTTGGCGAGCAACTGGTGCGATTTGGCGCAGATCTTGGGGTGCAGCGTGAGTTCTTGGTCGTCCGCAGCTTTCACGCGCTCGTCAGTGGACGGAATCGCGCGAGACGCTTCGTCCCCGAAAAAGAGGACTTGGGTATGTGTAAGGTGCTGGCATTTCGCTAGCGTCGACTCCATGCACTCGAAAAAGGTGGACTTCGGAATTGGCACCCACCCGCACGTATCAAAGAGGCTGAGCGCAACGTGGCCGAGCTCGAGGGACAGCGCATCGATGTCAAGGCGGGACGGGTCCAGGACAGAAAGGTCCTTTTCACCTGTGTCCGATGGGCGACTCGCTTGTTGGAGCAAGCTAGACAACACATGGAGCATGCAGATAAAGACCAGACCGGAGCGTCGTCGTACTTGTAAATGCGATCAAAACTCTTGGCTTTGCGTGCCTTGAGGTGCATCTTGGACGTTTTCGAGACAAAGCTCTGTGTCCGATGGTCCTTGAGTGTTGCCATGTCCGCGTGCCGCAGTTGCCGGTGGATCTCGTCGAATTCGCGACGGCTCTCATACAGAAATGTTCCTGGCACGTCATCGTGAGTTCCCATGACTGTATGACTGCATCGACGTCGTCGGTACCAATGGGCAAATTCGAGTCGTTGCGGGCAAACTGCGGCCGCCGACCCGTTTGGGGGACAAAATAGGGCCGCCCAGTCATCGGGTCCTTGGCGGCGCCGTATTTTTCCAACAACTTGGCACGACTCTGGGCGAGCTTCTCTTGATCTTCGATCGCGAGGCGGTGCACGAGCGCTTCTTGCGATGCCGGGGGTGCGACGAATGTGTTGATCCCAATGTTTGGCCGAAATGGAAACTGCGCCAAGTACGCTGCCTCGTGGTCCCTTTGCCGCTCTCGTCGCGAGCCCGCATCGGCGTACAGCGACAGGTGGGTCTGGATGCCATGTCGCTTGTCCTTGACGAGGTCCGTGGAGGTGGGGTTCACTTGGGGGGCGAAAGGATGGCGCTGGTTGTACTCGGTTTTGGCGACTTCTTGGTGTTTTTGCCTTCGCAACACGAGCTTCTCATTTGGCACGGGCTTTTTGTTTTCCTTGGACAGCAGTGTGGGCTGAAACATGGCGGGCTTTGGCTGCCCACACACACGAGTCGGGGTATCTCTTCGTTTCGATGGCTTGGTGGTGCTACTACATGTACAAGCAGTTGAATCGTGTACTCGCGAAAGGAGGTGGTGGTGTACCTGGATGACGTTGCTGCTGCCGCCGTGGGAGCTGGTGGTGGTGGTGCTGCTGCTGCTGCTGGAGTTGGAGGTTTGACCCCTATGCCGACTGCATTCTGGCACGTCGAGTCTTGGTGTCGATTTAGAAATGTACATTTGGGGCACATCCAGCCCGAGTCATCGTCGCCGGCGAGTTCAGCTTGGGCCTTTTCAGCTGACCGCGCTTCGGCTAGCTTCTTCCGTCGAGCCGCTTCACTGACAGCTTCACCGTGTAGCCGTTCGCCGATCGTGCGGTATTGACCGTTGGTGCGGTTGGCCACGAGCAGCTTCGTCTTTTCGGCGAGCTGAAGCTTCTTGTCGGCCAATTCTTTGTTGAGTTCGTCCTCGCGCTTCTTTTGAGCCCGCGCGCGCCACTCCCGTTGAGCATTTGCCAAGGCATACAAACGCTCGGACGCTGCAGGTTGGTGATGGCTTCTACGTCCTTTTCCTTTTTGACTGCGACACGATGACGGCAATATTCCTGTTGTCGTTTTGGATGGGACGAGGTCGAACGCAGAGGACGATGCCGCCCGGACCGATTTTCCAAATTTGTCGCGGAGAGCGTTGTAAGATCGTTCCTTTTCGGTGTTGGGGGAATGGTGATGCTTCGGTTGGGAGAGGACTTGCTGTCGCGCAGACGGCCGGTGAGTCAGTTTCGACGGCGGGTCCTCCGAGGCCGGTCGGATCGTTCGAATCTGCTCGAGGATATGCGCTGTCAACGTGGGAATTACGTCTCGTTCGAGAGAGTGCTGCTGCGCAAACGCCATCGCGAGTGCCTCTGGCTCGTCGTGTTCAAAGACTTGGATATTCTCGACTCGGCCGTCCCCGATCACGACTTCCATGATGAGGAGCAGCTCGGGTGCACCGCTAGGACCTGCTGCGTCCATCGCTTTCATGTTTGTGTCTGTTGAAGGAGGGGAGGATGTTGCCGCCGCTGCCAGCCGCGTGGCAGCGGCATCGACGACAGACTGGATCTCTTGGCAGAGCTTATCTGGCATGTCAAAGCTGGTCTGGACTTTCCAATCCAAGTTGATCGCAGTATCGCTGACTTCGATCGGAGCGGGCGGTGGAGCTATGGGATGTGTTTCGGTAGCGGACTGGTCGATGAACGGCTCAGCAATGGGGTTGGATGAAAGTTTAGTCGGTTCGCGCAATGATGGCATGGGTAGGATTCTGGCAGAGCCGTCTACACCTTCATCGTCGTCGTCCAAGAACGTATCGTCCGAGATGGTCGCAGGGAGCTGCACTGAAGACTTGATTCCACCATCGCCGACTTGGATTGTTGGCGAGCTAGCTTGGTGGTGGTCTATTTTCTCGGGGGACGGCTCCAACATAAAGTCATCTGAAAGGCACATAAGTGAAAGCTGAGCCTATCTCCCACCTACGTTTAGCTTGGATCAACCAGTCGTCAAAATCGTCGGCCATTGCGCGTGTGACGGCGGCGGTTAATGCAGGGATCGATGGCAGTTTCTGAAACTGGGTGAAACCGCCACTAATTTTGGTGTACTTTCCAAACGAGAATTGGTTGACCTGGTGGTGTGCCGCCGACCTGCAGACGTTGCCATGGACATCGCCACCTCGAATGACTACTTGAACGTGTTAACGTCTGTACTTCAGCGCGTATGGCTGACATATCCCTCACCATCCACGTTGCTGACTGTGTTTGGAACGTAGCAAACGATCAAGGACATGTTGTACGAAGGAATTATGTGAGTCTGCCTGGACCAAGTGAACTTGCTCATCTTGGTTGAATTGAGTAGGTCCACAATGTTGTACTGGACTATCTTCGGATACATCCTCTCAAGCGCGCCGCTGGCCGTGTGGAACTTGCACAAGTACAACCTCCTCCGCCGTGTGTCATGGAAGGCTATTTTGGGAGGTTCCGTTGGCATCTTTACGCTGGCTTGGCTCATTGCCGACTCTACCCCCGCGGACAAGGTATGGTCCTTCGCCACACAGAATCGAAGGTGCTCATGCTGCAACCGACAGATCTTTTTCATCGTCGGCGCCGGTGCCGGTGTGTTTTGCACGCATTTGCACTTTGAAATTGCCGAACTCATTTCGGGGCACATTGAAGCCGCCCAGCTGAAGAAACAAGAATAACTTTGTCAAATTGTCCATACAAGTGGATCATTCTTGTTGGTTCTAGTCGAGGAAAACGAGATGAAAATCCCCACGAGGAAACGAGCCTCCTGCGACAAATTCTCGATTCGTGGAAAACAACACGCATGCCGAGTCACAACTTGGCCAGCACTGTCCTCAAACCATGGCATACAAACAAACTACAAGTTCGAGTCAAAATGTGGCACAAACTTTCAGCCAGAGATGAAATCGGCCAACTTGGAAGATGGAGAGCACATGAAAGAATCGAAAAAGGACTGCGCCATCCGGGAATCGAACCCGGGGCATCTCGATGGCAACGAGATATTTTACCACTAAACCAATGGCGCTCGCATATGCATTCTGAGCAAAGTAATTTTACGTCTATATACAGAGTCAACACATTTGTATTTCCATCTATAAACTACCAGTGGAGGTTCAATCGAGGAGTGTCCACCCTACAACACTGCAAATTTCCTGTGGTTACTAAGCAATGGTCGTCCAATGTATTTCGAATGATCTCGTGTGCAGCACAACTGGGTGTCGGGGCTTTGCGCGTTCTGCGCTGGAATTCGACACTTCTTCTGGATATGTGGAGCGTTAAATATAGTGCGACAAGCATCGCGAATTATATGACTTGGAATATGTAAGAAGAGTACAAACATTCGATAAAATTTATGAATCCAGTTTCGGAGCAATTTTCTGCCCTTGGCAGAAGCAATTCAAGATGGAAGACGCAAGTCCTGCCGCTGTCTGTGCTCGCCAGACTGCCAAGCTTGAAGAGCTGATGAACTTCCTTCAGTTTGCGGTACTAGATGTACCTAACCGCTTCAAAGGCACGGTGCGCACATGCTCCTACGTGATGAACCTCGTCTTGACCTGCTTGAATAGGTCGTGTTTTCGTTCCTGAATGCCAAGCGCGACATTGTCTGTGTCCGCACTGTTGACACTACATCCCGTACGACCCCCCAAACCCAAACGTGATGCAGGGGTGTGTTCATTTCTAGTTCAGGCGTTCGAGTATATGCCTCGCGACCTTCTCCCCAGACGAGCGCCGTGGACGTTGCGTTAACAATCACGGACTTTCTCCTCATGTACAGTGGCGACTTGACCGCCGCCGAGATCGCAGGCTTGTGTATGTCTGGCAAGGTTCGATTTCTCACAAGTTTGCCGTGCATCAACTGAACTAGCATGGTGCGGTATAGGTCCAACTCCGCTGGACTGCGTACGGCAGCCTGAAAGCTTTCGCGGACTCGTTTGACTTTTCTGTCGAGAAGTGGGCCGATTTTTATGCCCACTTTGGCTTGGACCCCAACTACGTCGACCAGATCGAATGTATGCTGCCGTGTTGCAGAACGACGCCTCCCTTGACCGAAGAAGAGATCGAGGCGAATTGGAACATTGTGTGCGACTCGATGCTCATTCCAGCCACGGCGACGGCCGTCGGTTTCGACTGGCAACTTGTCACGCCCATGGAGCTAGCAGTCGCGCCAGTGCCAACGCCGCCACCGTCCCCAACGTCCCCCGACGCCCCCTTGACATGGTACGACAAGTTACACCTGGCGCAGGTCCAAGATACCGTCAAGCGCAAGATGGTCACCATGAGGGAGTACGCTGAAAAGTTTCTCGTCGACTCTCTCGACGGTGTCGCGTGAGTGTTTCATCTATTTTATCGTGCTCCACAATAAATATCTGTATTCAGTTCATGGCTGTCCAGAATTGCCCGCGCATCAGCCTTCCTTCCCTTTGACGAAGGACTTCTTGCTCTCAAGTCGAACGAGTCATGTCAGAGCCATTCATTTCATCTGTGGACGGAATGGTGCATCCATCGGAAAGCCCTACTCTCGCCGACGAGTCCATCATGTGCCTACAGTCTGGACCGAACGCGAATGACGTCAGGCAGGGCTCGTTGCTCGCTCGCACACTCGTCAGTGGCCCGTCCTTCGTTCGTTGTAGGCAAAGTGCACCTGGCTAGCTTGGATGTACGCTTGAACTCCACTTGTCGGACTCACACTTTGCAAGGTAACGACTGCGATGGCACCAGCCGCGTGGGCACGAAGGAAGCGTGCTGGGCCGAAGGGCGTCGCGACTGGATCATGGGGTCGCCATGGCGGAATCACAGGCTCATACACGTGGTCCATCCCAACAACTTGATCCACGGACAACACGGCATAGCCAAACGTCAGGCGGACGTCGACGCACCCGACAGCATACCTACAACGGCGCCGAGTCGACATCACAATGTCAACCCATGTGCCCAATGCGATTTACCTTGTCGCGGTGACAATGCCTCGACCAAACTGGCGGCACACGACGCGGTCACCGGGTCGAACGACGCTTGTGGGCTGGAGATACGCGACTTTGGCCCACGGAAACGTCACCTCCAAGTTCCGCTGGCGCTGGGCCAGGACGGTGGCGGCGCCAAGGACAGTCGCGATGCGGTCGCCAACGTTTGTAGATGACCCGATGCTCGTGGCACGAATGACACCTTTCGACACAAGGGCCCGGTATGCAAGCTTGACGTCGAGCATGAACCGATGGAGCAGTCCAAGCGCATAGTCGGACGGGGTCGCCGAACTCTCGCCCAAGTAGACTGCTACTTCATGCCAGTGTTCCGTCATGGACTCGAGTTTGTCCTGGACGACGCTCAGCTCGTGTTTGATTCGCGACACGTGCGGGCCCATCGTGCGCAAAAACGCATTTGGCGTATACTCCGTGGCGGCATGCGGCGATTCACGTGGCGACGATATCGTCGTCTCCAGTTGAGAACGACTCCGAACGTCGACTGTCGACGGGGCATTGGTGGCAACTTGGTCATCCAACGCTGGTCGTTTCTTGGAAGCGATAGCTGCCATCAACTCTTGCCGTCCAGCCACAGCAGGAATTGCTGGCTCGGGCAAGTGGCATGGTCGATTCTCTGCCAAGAGAATGGACTTGGTCATTGGCGGTGTGGAATTCCTTGCAAGGACGTGACACGAGTTTTCTTGCGTTTTAGGTGGATCCTCTTGCTGCCTTAATCGAATAGCTGCGAGCAATGCCGAGTTGTTCGGACGATGCGGTGGTTGTTGCGCCACTGTTGGTTTGTTTGTTGGTGTGGAGCTCGTCTCGGCGGCAGAGCGCGTTGGAAGCGGTGCGCTCAGTCGAGTTTCACCTCTCCGCACCTCACCGTGGTTGCGAATAGCTGCAAACAACGCTCCACGACTCTTGGTTGGTTCGACAGGCTTTTCTTGTGATGATGGAAGCAAGTGGTTGCGATCAGCTGGAAGGGGCATGTCCGTTGCGCCATTGTCAGAGGCGGTGACGTCGTCCGAGGAAACGCTGGTGCGTTTGCGAAGCGCTGCCATGAGGGCTTGGTGGCCACCTTCAAGCGCCATCGGCCGATCTCTCGTGGACGGCACGACGTTACTTTGACGTTGCTTTCGTGGCGCGTCGACTTGAGCCTTTTCAAACTGCATCCGATCGATTGTGTCTTCCTCCTTCACTTCATGGACCAAGTGCGCGAGTTGCTTTTGCAAGAGCGCCATTTGCGACACACACTGTACGTTCGAGAACCGCTTGGCGGCGTCAAGCATGTCCAGCTCGTCCATCACGTGAAACAAATCCATTTCGCCGCGCTCCTACAGGACCACCCAACGCGCTCATTCGAAAGTCTTGCCATGTGCGGGAAACGGTACATGAATGAGCTGCATGAGGAACTGCAGCAACGTCATGCTCTGGTCGATAGATCTCGTCTCGGACAACTATTTCATGGTGTGAACATCAAATTGTCCAGGGGCGCGCGTGCCTTTAGCAGTGACGCGAGGGTCACGCCGGAGGCGTTAGCTTGCTCGGTCCCTTCATTCAACACATTGCCCAGCGCCAAGATAACTTCAAAATAGCGGGGAAGGCGCTCACTGCTGAGAATTTGGTGGCACGCCACCGAGAGAATGCGCAGCCGGTCGTTGAGCTCGTCGATCAATGTTGAGAATTGCTGAACAAACAGCATCACGTGGATCTAGTCACGCCAAGTCGTTCATGGTGGCATCAAGTGCAGCCGTTTACCTTCTCCTGCACACGTGCGACCTTGGCCATATCGACGAGGAAGCGCTCGGCTTCGTCGAGCTTATGCACTGCGCCTCGGAAATTCATGTACCGCTTCAACTCGACCGGTGTCGGGCCGATTTCCAACAGCGTTTGCAAGACGTCTGGCGTGAGAAGGTCTAGGTTGCACTCGCGCAGTGCCGCCACAAGTCCGGACGGCCCCATGGACTTAAACCGACTCAACCCAATGTGAATATTGTTGGTGCGACGGCTGTCCAAGGCACTCTGAAATTTTCCACTGGATTTCGTCGACGGCAGCGCTCGTTTCGCCGTCGCTGTGGCTTCTCCAAAATACGCCATGACACGGTCCATGTCGGCGCCAGAGAGAGCCACCGGCGCATGGCGTCGTTTGGCCGTGACGCGGTTCCAAATCGTCGCCTTCCCCTTGGTCGTCGCATCCAGCGCAGTCCAGTGCAGCTTGCGGAGGGTGCTTTTTTTGCGCAAGAGCTGTGGTCGCGACCCTCCTCCGGTCGATGGTGTCGAAGTAGGACTACGTGGCGCAGCAACAGCCTTCAGTCCAAAAAGTTGAACGGGACTGGCCGATGGTGCCGCGCGAATCATACCGTGAGAGGGTGGAAGGCGCACCATCAAGGCCCGAGACGAAGATGTCGACAATGTCTTGGGGAATGTAATCTTGCTGCATCTTTTGACCGATGGCAGAAGGAGGCACACCAAACGACAGCATTTTGAAGTATTTGTCGTAGGTCGTGTTTTGGCGCAGGGCATCCAGCGCCGGGTTGTTTGACCGAGCATTGTCTGCTTTCGCGCGTTCTTGCAGTAGCTACGAGGCGAATTCGTTGGCTCGCCAGTGTACGCTGGACATGGCAGAGCACCTTCTTGTCGAGTTCACGTAGGTAACACCGATCGCACACTGGTTTTGCGGCCCAAATGTGCCTCGAACAAGCCAAACAAAATCCTTTTTGGCAAATCGAGCACTCTTGGCGCCGTCGAAAGAGTGCAAATGGCTCCATGCATTGCGCACAAGCAACGGTATTTGGCAAGAGGATCGACCCAAGCCACGATGTGACGGAATCTGCCGAGGCATGCACTCAGCTTCGAGAGAGTAAACGTTGAAGAGATTCGACTGGGCAAACCTGTCAACGACGTTGATGTCGGTGGCGGATGAGTTGGCGCCAGCCACCGCTTCTCTTCGTCCTGTATGGCTTCCATGTGCTTTGCACTCCAATCCAAAGACCGCTGAATGACGTGTTTCCAGCAAATGACGTGGGCCACCTCGGCACACGACGACCAGGCACTCGAATAGCGCTCTCTGGAAGTCACGACCAGGCGATATGTCGCTGCTTTTGCTCGAATCTAGCCGCGGACATGTCACCTACGCCTATCGTTATGAGTCGTACCAGCGAGCTCGAGTTGTCCAACACGAAATGGAGGTCAGAGATCGGATACTCCAGACGAAGGATGATCTCAACCCAATTCGGGCTTCCCTCGACGATCCGGAGGGGGGCTACGTCGGCATTCGACAACTTGAGCCCAAACCCGACGAGCACGCTGCTGCTAACAACGCGAAGCTGCAGTACAGCCACCAGCGCCGTCGGATCGTGCATGTTGAGCGGAATACAGATCCGATCGCCACGACTAGAGACAAATCTGCTAACCCACGGGACTCCAATCGGTATCGTCAACGTACGGGACGGTCACGTCAATCGTTGGAGTCGACAAACAGAGATATTTCGCAGGGGTGCAGTCTTGAATGGATGTGAAATCGTCCATGTTGGTGGTGCCTTGAAAATACGCCACGTCGCCGGCACCGTCTGCCAGGGCCAGTTGGTCCATTAAGAAAGGCTCCCATGCGTGGGTTTGGTACAGGTTGCGGGGAAACGATGCTGCAGTCGCGTTCAAGTCGTCCCTCAACGGGGTCAGGTTGAAGCTGACGCCGTAGAGGGCGCTGAGGCACGCGATGGCGCGCTTTGCTTTGGCGTAGTTTGCGAGCAGTGCCGTCGACGAGTCGTAATACCGGTCGACGAGGCTGTGCCGTTTGATGAGGTTCTACGACGGTGGATGAATGAAGGGCGAAGATATAAAGATCGTCATCACTTCGAGTGCTCGGTGCAGCACGTGGCGATTGAGAGCAAAGAAGAGGAACGCACGTGCGCGGCCCCAGCCCAAGTACCGCATAAAGGGCGGCGGCCGGAACAATTCCGCGTCAGACACGACGGCCATGTCCTCTCGAAGGACGTTCCTGGCTTCGATCAGGAAGCGAAAGTAGTGTTCTTCTGGTGGATGGGAGGACATCGTGGGCTAACAAAGTGTCAAAATATTCCTTTGAATCCAGAGGCGATACCTTGACACCACACCGCAGTATTGCTTCGAGGGCGAGAACCAACGGTCTTGCGGAGCCGGCATGTAATGGAGTATTGGGTTGTGCCATGAACACAGCTACAGTATCCACCACGGCGCTTTCGAGTCTCTGAGTTAACAGGTCGTGTGCTGTTGACGTAGATTCATCTCGGAGCTTTGTAATAGTAGGCATCGATTGTGGACGAGAAACTGTTGAAGAATGGTGGTGATGCGACCGGCTCGCGATTTGAACTGGATGATTATACTTGATGTGGTACTCGTTGGCGGCCTCGCGAGCGACGTGCAATGTGGATGTCGGCACTGCCATCACTCGATATTGGATGTCTTTGCCACGCAACATCGAGTAAGAGTTGTCCCATTGCAAAGTAACCGAGCTTGCCCGTCCATTGAGTTCGAGCGTGCCATCCACAAGTCCATCCATCTTGTCAATTCGCCTGGTGAAGGTTGGGGACTCAATGCCATCGACCAAAACACGAAAGTTCACGTCATGCGAGAGAACATGGAACTGCCAGACAATGGCCATGCCTTCATCAGCAGCAACTACAGCGTCACAAACTTCTCCACGACGGATAGACAAGGCTGTCATTGGTGTTGCTTGAAGCAAAAATGACTCGGGCGAATGCGTCGGTGGAAGCTCCATCCCTTGCACCGATGGCACGATTAAATTTGTGTCCGGATGTGCTGTTTGGATACAGTATATTTCCAAATTGTCAACTTCAAAATATAGTTGAATTAACAACAGCAAGCAGACAATTAGAGTGATTTTGCTACAGGATATTTCCTGTAAAATTTTCCTGTGGGCGATATATCCGTTCCCACAGGGAAATTTCGTCCAGTAAATTTCCTGTAGAAAAATCTGACAGGGAAAACCTTTGCACACACTGACCAGCCATTGAGTTTCGAAAATGTCCGAGCAAGAAGGGACAAAACGCAAGGCGGCGTACCGTTTCTCTATCCCTGTTGACATAGACCTGCTAAAGGAGGTCATGTTTGCATGTCCTCATGATGCGCCGTACGGTCAAACATCGAGTCGATGGCAGGAGGTCGGAGAGCACATGCGTGCACTACACGGACCAGAACTCAGCGCTGGAGGTTGCCGCAAACGGCATGACGATCTCATGGCAGCGTTCAAGAAGGAGACTGTAAAGTCGATGCGTGCATCTGGGACTGAAGAGGAATACCTGGAGCGAGAGCAGCTCCTTCAGGACCTCTCCGACATGGTATGTCTACCCGTGCATATCCATCTAAATTCATTATGTCCAGATTGAGAGCGCAAATGACAAACGGAAAAGCATCAAAGAAGAGAAGGACAAGAAAGCAGATCGCCGGGAAAGCGACGGACACCTCATTCGGGAAGCGGCTCTTGCCGGGCTGAAGCGCAAAGCGACGGCGCAGGACTCTCTCGACGAGAGTGAGGATGACGACAGGTCTCCTTCGAAGAAGAAGGAATCGCGGGGAACGACCCCACTGAAGGAGGCAGTGAGCGCTGTCGTCGACTTTGCTGCGATAATGGAGGCATCGCACAAACTCAAGCGCGAAGACCAGGAAATGCAAAAGGAGGCCCATGTGCTAGCCTTGCGGAAGTTAGAACTCGACGAGCAGCGTTTTCTACTGGACAAAGCGGAGCGTGAGGCCAGATTTGCTGCAGAACAAGTCGAACGCCAGACACAGTTCGAGTTTATGCAAGGCACGGTAGAATTACTTCGCGCACTAGCTCAGAAAATGTAATTTTGTTTTGCTTTGTTTGTTTCGACAC